ACGTGTGCTCTTCCGAAAATATAAGTTAAGTGAGAAATGTTAAAAAGTTTGAAATTATATAAAAAATTTAATTAATTTAATTAATTTTAATTTTATTACGTACGTCCAAGAGATTACAATATTAAGAGACTACAATAACAATATATATACAGTGGCATGGGAAACGCACCGCAACGAATATACAACAATCGTCTAATAGTGATAAAGACATAGTTACGTATAGGTGGATCTGATAAAAAATACTAGATACTGCATCGCAAAAAGTAGACAGAGAAGAAGATGTTATGACAAATGAAGGAAAATGATAAAGCATTTTGCAGCAGTGTAAGAAAAGACGGCACGGAATTTAGTGGAGTGTTGCAATGGAAAAGATAGAATCATGAAAACGGGTATTAAGAGTTTTAGACGCATTCTTCTTTTGCATGTAAAAGGAATTTTATATATATAGAAATTATATATTCGGAAAAGTTTATAATATTCGCTGAAAAGCATATTTAATTTTTGACAATTACGATTAAATACGTGATTTATATATAATAATTGAAGCAAAAGACTGAAGTATCTGAGAATTTTGCCAAGTTACATTCAAGGAAGTAATCTTGAGAAATTGACATTGCGATGTGCAATACAATAATGCAATCAACACTGTATAATAGCAGTTGTTTTGAATTATATACTCACTTGCACGTATCTGGCCTTGTCGTAGGGCTCGCCAAATAATATGTTTTCTCTCACAGTACCATTAAAGATCCAAGGCTCTTGACTAGCGTAGGAAATGCGCAGATTCGGATTGCTCATGAAGAAACCATTAGACAAATTGTTTTGAAAATTACATCTGGAGGAGCCCTGAGTGAGAATCACGAAACCCCCGTCGAGATTCAACTCCTTCAGCAGCAGATGTAGCACGGACGATTTGCCGGAACCCACGACGCCGACTATAGCGCACAACTGACCTGGCTTAATAGTCAAATTGACGTCACACAAAGTTGGCGGCAATTGGTCACTAATCCAATTGGCGCAAACGCGCTGAAGTTCCACGAAGACCGGAAGATCTGCAATTAATTCCTGAGACTCGGAAAGAGCGATACTCTCATTTCTCGAGATGTATCTGTCTGTTTGTTTCTTCTCGTTGGTTGCTTCGTTTGGTTTCTGAAATTTAAACTGTAACTGCGACGTCTTCTCCGAACATCTCATGTTTATTTCGTCCATTAGCAGAAGGTTCTGTACAAATTAAGCACATCTCAGTCGCAGTTATGTGACTATTAGAAATATCAGAAAGATTGTGATGTTTAAGGTATCATCGAGAAATTTAAAATAATGGCAGTATACGTACCTCTAATCGATTCAATGACACCATTGATTCGCTCAGCGTTGCCATGGCGCGCGGGAAACTTACCGCGGTGGTGAATTGAAGCAAGTAGAAGTATGTCGATATTTTGTAGGTCACATCAGCGGTTAAGTCATTTCCCGTTAGGACAAACGTTATCAGGATGAAGTAGAGACTAAGTCGGGTAGTGAAGACTATAATGGATAAATATGCAGCGTGTATATACGACGAGAATTTAATCTTTTTGATCTCCAGTTTTCTGGTCATCGATACGATCTTGCTGAACGGTTTCTCCCAGGCGTACATCTTTACCACCTGAATCAAGAATAATTATCATCTCGTATACTTAGTTTCATAAAATTATTTTTTTTGTAGAATTTGACACTTAAATGTCAGTGTCTTTTTCCATTTATGTCATTTAAGAATTAAATAAATATCCCGGATCAAATATCTCGGAGAGACCTGTATCCCAGCCACAAGTTCGCTCATCAGCTGTACTCTTCGGTCGGTTAGTGGCGCGATAATGGCTCTGATTCGGCGACTTAGCAAGCTGAGAGTCCCATGCACTATTATGGCGACGAACAATAACAATCCGATGCCGACAAGGACTAAGACACCGATTTGTTGCCACATTATAAATCCTATTATCGCCATCTGTGAATAGAAAAAACCCGATCAATTTGAATAGATAGTTTTTGAAAAGCAACATCAAAAGAAGGAAAAAAGGAAAGACTCTATATTTTTACAGCTTACGACAAGAAGAAGTAAAATGTATGGATGTTTACATATAGATATACAAATGGATGTACCTTTTATATAACAACAAACAAACTACTAATATATTAATAGCTATACTTATCAATCACCTATAAAAGGAATAATTAATTTAAACGAGTTTAGTTGAAATAAAACTATATTTGAAATATTTAAAATATCTCGGGATTCACATTAATATATTTTTCAGATAAAAAAAAAATTAACCTGAATAGGCATGACCCATATGTAATTCAGGAACATCGTTAACGTATCGAAGCGAGCGACGTCATTGCTGAGAATATTCATGATCTGTCCCGTACCTATTTGATTCATGGATGCTGTGTTCAACCGTAATATCTATGACAGTTTTACAAAAAATTATAGAAATTTATATTAATTAGAAAAAAGGAACATTTATTTGATAAACAAAGTTTTTCGTGTGTTTAATTTCTATTGTCTTTTTCCTACGTCTTTGCTCTAAATATCATTATGTAACTTTTCTAATAGCCTTCTATCCTTCTGAGGACGTTCTGTTGGTTGAGCAAAATGTCGCGAGGACTATCTGTTATAGTCTTAAAAGTTATTTAGGACGTTCTAAAAATTAGCAAATAAACACCTATACGGAAAGAACGATTTTGTTGAAAGATCTACAAATTTTGCTAAATACAGATCTGAAAATAAATTCTTGTTAAATCATCAAAATAATTTGTTAAAAAATTAAAAATGATAAGCATTGCTATAAAACGTTTTGCTATACTTGCAATTATTTTGACTTTCTAACAAGATTATTTTGATTATTAAATAAAAATTAGTTTCAGATCTGGATCCAGCAAAATTGTTCTTTCCGTGTACTATGTTCTGTATATATTCAGTACATTCAGTTCATTTCATTCTAAAGAAGTTCTCTTTTCACTTACGAAAAACTTGGAACAGCTCGCAAATTAATCGGCAGTGTTACCTTCCGGTAGAGAAGGGAGCTGCAGGCGATGCGTATTCTCATGCTAATCTGCATCGACAGCATAATCATATGGTGCATCAACATAACGGAGATGACACTGCAAACGACCATGAGAACGACGTAGATCAGCACCTCGTTCATCTTTATCTTGTATTTTGAGGTGGAATCTCTGGTGAAGTAGTCGATGATCAAACCTTGAAGGATTGGCATTATCACGCGTATTACACCGCACTGAAAGCAGAAATGTTGAAATTTAATGATGCCACGAGCTTGAATCTAATAAAACTGAAAGAGAGAGAGAGAGAGAGAGAGAGAGAGAGAGAGAGAGAGACAAATTATATAATGTGTTAAATGAGCAACAAGCCGAATCAGATGTCTTACTTACTATATATAAACGTTTTTAATATAATCAATCAAATCAAAGAATATACAATAAATTCAAAGAAGAGGTAGATAATAAAACGCATGTTTACGTCCGTGTAAAAATATCATAATAAAAGTTCAATAAATTCACGTGAGCTTTACAACAACGCATTTTAATTTTTGAAAACAACATAATTTTTTACATCACTACCTTCACTCTTAATTTTAAAAAATTAAAATGTATTGTTATAAAGCACACTTACAACTGTAAAACTATTATTTAACACTTTTCTTTCATATTTTTGACGGTTTAAATATTCACTCGAAAAGAAAAAAACTGATTTTCTGTAAAAGAATGATTTTACCCTCTTAACTTATAGAAAAATAAATGTCTTATTTTTTTTGTCTATATATTAATATTTTTATTATTAAAATTGAAGGGATATACTTAATTGTGTTCTTTTGTTGGATTAACAATTTTTTTTTCTTTATTATTAACTGAATCTACCAAGAGATTAACTAAAAAAACAAATTTTTTTGTTGTTCCTCTTTGTAGAAATATCTTTCAATGTTTCTTTTTAACATGAACGCTTGATCTAAATATCGTAAATATCAATAAGTATTATCTCAATATTAGTATATATCATAGTAACTCTCTTCTCGGAGTATCGATATACTTCGATAAAGGCGAAGATTCCGAGTATGAAATATGGTAACCAAAAGGCTTTGAAGATCGCCTTATATAATTTCGGCCGGGCGTCCTTCTTGAGCGACACCTTCTGTCCGTCTTTGCACACGATGTATTTCAGTTTATCTAGCTCACGGTTCCAGTACCTGAATAAAAGAAATGCATTAAGACTCTGTTAGAAAAGCGGGGAAACTGATTTACTATTTAAATGCGACGAATTTTACTCTTTTGCCATGTTCTGCTGCATTCCCATTTTCAAGAATAATGTAAAATAACGTTATCGCAAAAAAGAATAAATATCAAAATTTTAGATATTAGGTATATACCTATATTTATATTATTATATATACCTATAATATAAATTGAACTTGTATTTTGAAAATAATTATTAAGATTTGTTTATTATTCCGAGAACAGTAAAAGTGAGAGTCACAAGGATTATAATATAGTGTTATAGTTATTTATGTTTTCATTAATGTATGTTAATTTGTTATCCACGCTGGCGATACTTACTTCTCGAGATAATCAGTTAGTTTTTCGGATTCGTTTGCTTTAATTGGTCTATAAATATCAGATATGTCCAAATCACGCTTGGAGCCTGTTATAAATAATTCTCGCATCCACCTGTGCGGATCGCAAATAATCGGTATATGTTTCATATTAATATACTTTATTATATTGCAGTACAAAAATTAGTTTGAAGCTACAGTTTTTTTTTATTTCAACACCAACATCATTTCTTGACAATTACTTAACTCTAATGAAAATATCTCGTTTTTATGAACAATCATTGCGAATTTGATCAGAAGACAAGCAATACTTTTACCTTCTAGCAATAAATTGAGAAAGCTACAAATCTATTATTTTAAAAAAATATATATTATATAGAGCGAATGCGGTTGGACGCACTATAGTGGGTCCGTTGTACACACAAATCGATGTAAAGATGTGTGTGTTTAATAAAAATACAAAAAAGAGTTAAACCGTAAAATTCTTAATAGCATTATTTAGTAAATAATGTATTAGGCATCACTTAATGGGCAGTTATTTCACTTTTGCATTAAGATTAGAACAGTGTACAAAGGCATTGATGTACATACATTGAGTGTGCACAAATGTATCCAATTGAATTTGCTATTAGTCTTTAGAGTCAATTACCTATTATTAACTAAAAAATGTTAATTTTTGAGGTTGTATTACAACACATTATATAAATTCTACCTAAAATGACTCATTGTCAGACATATAAGTAGCTGACATTTTCCATTCTGCGTGGATCACCAATAAAAAAAGTTAGCGCGGCACGAAACGTCTTAATTGTATTTATAACAAATAGCAATTGATATGTAGAAGAAAAAAAATAAAAGCGTGACTCAACATAAATTGAACGTAAGAAAATTATAGCGCCACGTGTATTGAGTTAATTGTACTCATTGTGGCAAACGGTAGTTGATACGGCAGAAAAGAAAGATAAAGGCATAGTTTAACGTCGATCTTTTGAATAGTAAGAAAAAATTTACAAAATGCATTTCTATTTTTTTTTTGTTAGTATAATAAAGAAGTATGATACAAAACATAAAATATTTTATAAGATAAATAGTCGTTGATGCAATATACGGGAAAATATTTTTTATTTTAGGGAAAAGAAAATTTTATCTTCAAAGTATAAAGATCTTCTCTTTAAAAACAAAAAAATACAATTTTGCATCCAAGAAGAAAATTCTTCTTTCTTAAAGAAAGTTCTTTTTTAAGGAAAAAAATTGAAATTTTTCCTTTATTGTAGCAATTGAAATTGTTATTATAAGGAACAAAGCTATTTCGTTCTTTCTTTTCCTGCTTTCCTTCACTAAGTGCATTCTCAGACAAGAGTCTTAACGAACCAGAAGAATAGAACACTGAAGATATTCGCGGTCTCTCTAGGGTTTTGCTTCATGTCGTTCGTGTTCTTATCCATGTTGTTATATGGTCTCACAAAATATTACGAC